TCCTCTCCACCTATCTTCTCCTCTATCCATCTTCTATCCGCCTCCCCCTCTCTCCCTATTTATTTCAGAACCCCCTTCCCCTCCCCCCATTTCTGAAGAAGGGTCTAGGTCCGAAACGTCAGCCTTCCTGCTCCTCTGATGCTGCTTGGCCTGCTGTGTTCATCCAGCTCTACACCTTGTTATCTTAATAGGAACTGTAGATGCTGGAGAATCTATCTCTTCCTACCCTCTGACCTGCTTTTGTTGTCACTATTTACCTGGTGACTCCAATTCAATTTTGGTCAATGGTAATCCCTGGAATGTTGTTAGTGAGAGATTCAGTGATGGCAACACCATTGAATGTCGAGGACGGTGGTTAGATTTTCTCTTATTGGAGATGGTCATTGCCTTACTTTTGTATCGTGTGACTGTTACTTGTCACTTCTTAGTCCAAGTCTGGATATTGCCCATGACTTGCTGCATTTGGGCATGGACTGCTTCAGCATCTGAGAAGTCAGGAATGGTGCTGAGCATTGTGCAATCATCGAACACACCTTTTCTAATCTTTAATGGTGGAGCGAAGGTCATTGAAGCAGCTGAAAATGATTGGGCCTGGGACAGCCCCCTGAAGCTTTTGTGTCACAGTAGTAATGTCCCTACCTTTAGACTAGGAAGTCCATGTTCAGGTCCCAAATGCTTCAGAGGCGTGTGATAGCAACTCTGAACATGTTGGTTATAAATATCTACCCTAAGGAGCTCCTGCAGAGATGTTCTGGAGCTAAGATGACTGATCTCCAACAATCACAATTGTCTTCCCATGTGCCAGGTTTGAGACTCCCATGGATTTCAGTTTTGCTAGGGCTCCTTGATGCCACACTTAGTCAAATGTAGCCTTGATATCAAGGGTTGTCACTCTCACTGCAGCAGTCTGTGACACAGCTCTTCAAACTTTTGCACTAGCCCCCCCCAGATGTTAGTAAGGAGCACTTTTCAGCATCACCAGGCCTTTTTGTTTTTGCTGTTATTATTTTTGGTGTCAAGGTGGATGCCAGATGGTCCATCCATTTCATTTCTTTGTTGAGACTTGGTGGCGATTGATAGAACTGAATGGCTTGCTAGGCCATTTCACGCGGCAGTTGACAGTTAACCATGTTTGTGGGATTGGTGTCACATGTAGACAAGATCAAGTAATGACAGCAAGTGCCATCCACAGCAAAATAGGTAAGAAATCACTTACAAGAGGCCAGGAATGACAGAACTCTACCTCCATGTTTCAGGTCAGGTGCTAACATCCCACGTGGTCCTTTTCAAAAGCCGAGGTAAGCATTGGTGAATCCTACAAATTGATTTGAAAGAATACAAATGCTGAACGATTTGGAGGGAAGGGGGGAAACTATTCTAATCCCATTTTCCAGCACTTGGCCCATAGCCTTGTATATCCTTACAGCCTAGATAGTGCAGGAAGAGAGATCTGGTGAAAGCATCTTTGAAGGGGTCAGAACAAGCTGAGGAATCTATAAATAAAGGTATAAGAAATGATTGACTTTATAAATACAACTAGGGAGTACAGAAGCAGGGAAGTTAGGCGTAGTGTTAATGAAAGACCAGGGCTCTGCTGGTGTATTAGGGTGAACTCTTTAGGAAGGACGTGAAAACAATGGAATGGATGCAGAGAAAATTTATTAGAATGGTTAATAGGTGAAGTATATTACATGAATATGAATTATATATCAATTATATGAAGAGATTTGTCCTCTGGTGTTTGTCCTCCTTGGGAAGTTTTATGGAGGTGTTCAAAATCTTGCAGGATTATGATGAGAGTGAATAGAAACAAACTGCATCCAGTAGCAATTAGCGAATATATTTTAAGGTGGGTGATTTGAGGAAATCATGTCTATGCAGCAAGAATTATTGATATAAAATGCATTTTCTGACAAGGTAGTGAAGGAGTAATTGTATAGTTCTAAGTTGAGATAAGAGTGTGGCTTGGAGAGATGACTTGTATGTAGAGGTGTTCCCATATACTTACTGCCTTGGCCCTTTCAAGGTATCCCACTCATCCAGGCAAGAAAAGAGTATTTAACCACATTCTCAACTTGTAACTAATGGGCAATGGGCAGCTTTGGGGAGTCAAGAGATGAGTTACTGGCTGCAGAATGCCCAACCACTGTACTGCTGTTATAGCTACAGTATTTATACGACTGGTCCAGTACAGTTTCTGCTCAATAGTAACCTCCAGGACGGTGATAGTGGGGATTTAGCAATAGTAATGCCATTCAATTTCAAGGGGAGATGGTTAGATTCCCTCCTGTGGGAGGGGCTCATTGCATCACTTGTGTGGCTTGAATTTTCCTTGCCACTCATCAACACTTTGATTTTAACTGCAGTGTAAAAATAGAGAAAATAAAATTAAAATAATTGGGTTAACTGTAACACTATCAATGCTTAACAACATAATATATATTTTAACTACTACTAATTGACTGTTCCAGTATAGTAATATTGCACAAACACATCCTTGGCAAAGGCAAATTCAGTAAAATAGATTGTCTCACATGCAATTCTAGCAGCGGGAAGAGAACCCCAGCTTTTTGCTGTATCAGAGAAAGGAATAAGAGCTTCCATATCCAGTTTCAAGCTGTTCACTTTGTTGGCTTTGGAGCAGACTGCTTAACATCTCTATCTCAATCTTTCTTCAGGAAAAGAAAAGACAAAATATACCTCTTAAAGCCATAGTACTGTCACACAATGTACTATCTGCAATATCCTTCCCCCATCCTCTGTCATGGTGTCACACTTTGAACTTTTTAAAAAAAGTTTGAATTCTGAGTGATAATAACCATAGTAATAATTTAAACACCATATCAAAATATATCCATGTCAATTCAATGACAGCTTACTTCGTTCAGTGTGGATAATACTCAGCTAATATCTGACAGCCCATGCAGTCAGACCTCCTTAGTTTAAAAGTCTGCCTTAACAGTTTTATTAGATTTAACCATCACATCCAATCTTGTGTGGCATGTAGGATTTGAAGTACAGTTTGAGTTCTTGAAATTCCAATGTTCTTCTAAATGAGCATTCGTTTTTATTACCGATTTGTCGCTACAGATCTTCTTTCTCATTTTGTCAGTGTTTTATGGCTTTTCCAGGTCCTGCATTCAAAAATTATGCAGTTGTTTGGTTAGCTGTGCGAAGAACATGAATATCAGGGTATTGTTAACTTGTAAACGCAGTCCTTAACCAAACCTGTTGCAATTTTAATTTCTGATGTCCATTCTCTTTCATGGCTGCAGATTTTTCAACATTCAAGGAATTCTCAGCCAGCCATTGTCATCCTTCTGTTTAAATGCAGAAATATTATAACTTTTCAGTTACTTGCCATGATTTAAATTTTGGTTTGGTCCAGAAGAAACTATAGAGTCATACAGCACGGAAACAGACCCTTCGGTCCAACTTGTCTATGCCAACCAAGTTTCCCAAACTAAACAATCCCACTTGCTCATATCCTTCCAAACCTTTCCCAATTCATGTACCTATCCGAACGACTTTTAAATGTTGTAACTGTACCTGCATCTACCACTTCCTCTGGCAGTTCATTCCCTGGACGGACCACCTTTGTGAAAAAGTTGCTCCTCGGGTCCCTTTTAAATCTTTCTCCTCTCTCGTTAAAAGTATGTCCCCTAGCTTTGAACTCCCCTATCCTAGGGAAAGGACCTTTTGCTATTCCCCTTATCTATGCCCCTCTTGATTTTATAAGCCTCTGTAAGGTCACCTCTCAACTTCCTACGCTCCAGTGAGAAAAGTACCAGCCTTTCCTTATAACTCAAACTCTCCAGTCCCAGCAACATCCTAGTAAATCTTTTCTGAACACTCTCCAATTTAATGATGTCTTTCCTATAGCAGGGCAACTAGAAGTGTACATAGAACTCCAAAAGTGGCGTCACCAACATCCCAACTCCTATAATCAATAGTCTGAGCAATGAAGGCAAGCATGCTAAATGCCACTTTAACTACCTTGTCTACCCGTGACGCAACTTTCAAAGAACTATGTATCTGAACCCCTAGGTGTCTGTTTGTCCATGTTCCCCAGTACACTTGTACAATCCCAACATGGTGATCACCCCTTTCTTATTTGAGTTCCACCCATATAGCTTCGCTGGACAATCCTTCAGAAATATCCTAAGAACAGCAGTAATATTTTGCTTAATCAAAAAGGACACCCTCCCTCCTCTCTCGCCTCCCTTTCTATCCTTCCTCTAGCATCGAAACCCCATTGAGCTGCCAGTCCTGTCCCTCCTTCAGCCATGTTGCTGTAATAGCTATGATGTCCCAGTCCCATGTTCCATCCATGCCTTGAGTTCGTCAGTCTTTCCTGTAAGACCCCTTGCATTGAAATAAATGCAATTTAATTATTCAGAGTTCTGACTTTCTTTTGCCTGCCTTAACTAAATAACTTGATCTTTTTTAATCCAGAACCATCCTCCTATCTCCTTCTCTTCTCACTTCTACTTAGGATCTTCTCCACCCCCTGCCCCATGCACGTGCACTTGCGCGCGCGCGCACATGCACACATACACACACCCTTATTAGTTTAAAGGTTCCCGAATAGTACTAGCAAATCTCTTTACCAGGATATCGGTCTCCTTCTGGTTCTAGTGAAACCAGTCCCTTTTGAACAAGTCTTTTCTGAACCAGAAGAGATCCTAATGATCCAAAAATCTGAATCCATGCCCACTGCACTATCTCCTCAGCCATTGATTTATCTGCCCTGTCTTCTTATTCCTACTCTCACTTGCACATGGAACCAAGAGTAAACAAGAGATTACTACCTTTTGAGGTTCTGCTTTTTAATCTTCTATCTAACATCTTATATTCACTCTGCAAAGCCACGACCCTTTCCCTAACTGTCGTTCTTTCCAATGTGTACAACAACTTCTGGCTTCTCGCTCCTTTTGACAATATCCTGCAACTGTTTTGAAATGTCCTTGACGCTGGAAGGTTTGAGTTATAGGGAGAGGCTGAGTAGGCTGGAGCTTCTTTCCCTGGAGAGTCGGAAGTTGAGGGTTGACCTAATAAAGGTTTATAAAATCATGAGGGACATTGATAGGGTGAATAGCCAAAGTCTTTTTCTCAGGGTGGAGGAGTCCAAAACTAGAAGAGCATAGGTTTCAGGAGAGAGGGAAAGATTCATAAAAGACTTGAGGGGTAACCTTTTCACACAGAGGGTGCTGCATGTACAGAATGATCAGCTAGAGGAAGTGGTGGATATGGGTACAATAACAGTATTTAAGAGGCATCTGGATGAGGATTGGAATAAGAAGGGTTTAGAGGGATTTGGGCCAAATGATGGCAAATGGGACTAGGTCGGAGTAGGATGTCTGGTCAATGCAGGTGAATTGGACTAAAGAGTCTGTTTCATGCTGTATGACTCCATCTGGATTTTTACAATTTGTCACAATCCTTATTGCAAGCTAAAACATTCAGAAAGCTATTTGAATTCCCAGTGACTGACTTGCACTTTTGTCAGGCAAGTTTTTAATAAATTTTTTTTTCAGACCTTTTCTGTAACAAACTAAAAGCAACACCAACTGTACATTGCATTCTTCCAAAACCCTGGAGATTGAAAGTCTAACCACAGTTTTCTCAGCTGCTCCTGCCTTCAGATATGCATATTTTGCATTCTGTTCTCATTCAGTCTTATCCTGGATCTGGTGGTCTCCATGGTAACAAAGCCATATGAGTCAGGTAGATCTTGAAGAATTTCATATGATTCTCTCCAACCGTCTATTTTGCCTTATATTATGATTCCAACAGTGCATTTATCATAACATCTTCTATTCAGAGCAGTCAGTCTCCCTGATCCTTGGGGGCTAGCCTTCATCTTGGACAAGGTAACTAAGTATGGAGTAGAGATGAAGAAAACGAAACACTGATGTTTTATAAAGCTAACCTAAACAAGTCTATAATTTTTATGACTGAGCTTCTTACGGGTGAAATACCTCTTGGAGGTATTTAGTCTATATTTTAACTTAATTCTGAATTTAAGAGAAGTGATTTTTCTGACTTTTGCAGATAAATAACTTTTTTTTTACAGAATTGTGAAATGCTTGGGACACCAAAACAATTCCTATGATCAAAACAATTTGATGGACAATTTGAATATGTCTGCAATGATTAACAACCAAGGACAGCATTTCTTGACTGAATGGACAACGGATGTTGCTCGTGCAGGGGTGATATTGAATGCTCCTTTTTGTTTCAATGGTACTAACTCAACTCCGGAATGTAGAAGTGTAAACGACTCATTTAGTGCTCAGTTTATTCCACTTCAGTTCTCAAACGACAGCAGTTGCATCAGCATAGACTCTCTTCATGATGAGCCTATTTTGAATGTAGACCCACCAAATGGAAAGCTACAAACTGCTTTTGATATCAATGGTTCATTGACTTCAGATCTTCATTCAAATGTAATACAGCACACTTCTTTGTCCCCAAGTGGCTTATTGTCCTGTAATAATGAAGCAGTGAAGCACATTGAAGAAAAGACTGCATGTGATAATGCTGTCATGCAAAGACTTGAACAGGTCTGTACAATAAAGATTTGTTTCCTTCCTCCTGCACATTTTACAAAGGTAGCTAATATGTTAGAAGACAACAGCGAAAATCCAAAGTTTAACAGGCAATAAAGATTTTCTGTAACTATTATATTTAAAAAAGTAACTATTGTCATTTTTATTTATAATTTAAGAAAAGGAAATTTCAAACTATGGTATTGCTTGCTTTTCAATGTGTTCTTCTTTATGATTTCATACAACGGTGTGTTTATTTCCTGCCATTTTGCCAGCTCCTATTCCTCATGCTCTTTCAAAAAAAAAAATCCAGTCTCCATTGAGGTGCCTGCATACATTTTATGGCAGCACTCAAATCAGAAAGTTGTGGTTTCAAGACCCTCTCCAGAGATTTGAGCACCCAATCGCAGCAGATATTTCAGTGCAGTCCTGAGACATTGTTTCATTCATTTTGACAGTGCAGCATTTTTTTTTTTTTTTTTGAAGATGACATAAGACGTAGAGCAGAAGAAAGTCATACAGCTCATCAAGTCTGGTCCACCATTGAGTGAGATCATGGCTGACCCGATAATCCTCAACTCCACTTTCCTGTCTTTTACCCATAACTCTTAATTCCCTTTATTGATTGAAAATCTGTGTGTCTTAGCTTTTAATATACCTAACGACACAGCCTTGACAGCCCTCTGCAGTAAAGAATTCCATGGATACACTGCCCTCTGAAAGAAAATAATTACTGCTCATCTTTGTCTTAACTGGTCAACCCCTTACTCTGAGATTATGCCCTCTGGCCTTATCTGTCTGACATAGAAGTGAAAGATTTTGCATTTCTATTGGAAAAATGACATGGAAGTTCTCACGAGTGTCCAGATATGTATTCCTCAACTAGTACCAACCGAATAGAGTAAATGTTTGTTTGTTTGTTTGTTTTTTTTTCTTGTCATGAATATCTCAAAGTTGGCTATCATGTTTCCCATACTTTAATTATACTTCAAAAGCATTGCTGTAAGGTACTTTTGGAATTGTAATCATTTTCAGTGATCATCAAAGTGTATGCTTTCACAGTGAAAATATGAACTCTGGTTGTTGAAGCAACTTGTCACCGTAGAAAAGGAAAACAAAGCAAAAAAACTTACAATTTCCTCTTTTTAGTCAGTTTCTGTGTAAAAGGAAAGGAATGAAGATGTAGCAAGGCATAAATGTTCCTTTTATTGTTAGTTAACAAATATCATCAATAGTCAACAATTAAAGTATTTGTGTCTTGAGTAGGTAGTTGTTTTGTCCTTTTTTTAAAAATGTTTTCTGCCTTTTAACTTGCACTAATCCCATGTGGTCTACTTTGGTGATCTCGTACACTTTCTTGTTATAGACTATCTATGTCAAACCTTCCTTATTTAAGATTGTCAACAATCAGTGGTTGAAATCTTTATCTTAAAAAAAAGACAACTTAAACTTTGTAGCTTTTGAAATATGAAACTAAGATAATTGGGCATTAATCATATAATTCCTTTTGTAGTTAAGAGAGTGGCAACATGAAAGACAAGAGCAACTAAAGAAGCAGCATCAGGAGCAGCTTCAGCGACTGGTGCACGAACAACAGACACTACTTGGTCTTATTGGTACGCAACAAGGATTTTCGGGTAAAGAAGTTTGCATGTTAAATATTTTTTGCTTTTTATTTTGGTCAATAGCAAACATTCTATTACTGAAAATGTCTGTTTGAAAACAGCATGTCATTTTGATTGCTTTGCTTTGGTTCTCAATATTTTTGTAACTAACACTGGAATTTGCAGTTATCAAAATATATATGACTGCACAGAGAAAACTAACTTTCAAGCATTATTTGAAATGATAGAAAATAAGATTCAAGAGCCATTGTGTGTAGTAGAAGAGATTGAAAGAGACCCTCTAAAACCATTGTATGCACGCATTTAATATAGGAAAAGTAAATAATTCAAAGCAAATGGTTACAAAATGGGTAGTCATTTAGCTCATCATGTCCATTGCCAGTATTGTACTAATGCAACAAAATTTTAAAAATCGTTGTACCATTAACTTGTTTAATTATTTATTGAAAACTGTTGAACAATAAGTAAGTTGCACAGAATAACGAGTATGGTATCTGCTGGATTGTTATAACTATATTAGCCTGTTTCGTTAGGCCTGTTAATTCTGTTGCTGCTAGATTGTAAGCAGTGTCAAATAACATTTAGCATTGTACCCGTACTAGACCATCCTCACTAGGAAGCCAAAGAAAGGTTCTCTGGAGTCTGACCAGTCTTTATTTTCCCCCAGAAGTCAGGCAGCCTTTTCTTTTTCTGAAGATTGATACTGGCTTCCTTGATGTGGGAGTTGGTGAATTGAATTTGGTTTGGTGTTAGTTTTATTTATTATTTTTAAAATCTGCCACTTTTATTGTTTTAAAACTTCTATGAATTTGAACGAAAACTTTTAATATTATTTGTACTAATGTTTTGCTGAATACTTACTTGATTGTCTTCATCTGGTTGATACCATTGAAATGTTATCGAAAGTTTCTGAAGCATTGCTCATCTATAAATCTTTCTATTTAGTATTTTTGATCTTAGAAAAGTCAGAGCTGATACTCCAGTGTAGCATTGACAGATATATCATATTACAGGTGAAATGTTTACACTGAGGCCCTGATTTAACCCTGAACCATGTGATTGAACATAACCTGAGCTTTGTGAAGTGCTTGAATGACGTGGAATCTATTCTACCTGGTTTGATTTGAGGAATATTCTATACCAGATCTGGTAACTCCATTGTATCAAGACAGTTGTACCAATGTGTCATCTGGCCCTAGGCATTAGGGTGAGAAAACGGTCATTAGAAGTGTGTCATGCAAAAACCTGCAGTGAAAGATGTTTCATAGTGCTAATATGCAGTATCAATGGAAGGAAAAGGAACAGAGGTTATTCTAAAAAAAATTGCAGAATTTAGAAACATGGCGGCCAGAATAGGCTATATGGTGCAGAAGGTTACAGTAATTAAATTAAAATGAAGTTCAAATTATAATGCAAAAAATCTAAAAGGAAATGAGTGTCGCTGAAAGTGAAGCAAACTATTTCAAACGTAACTATGCAGTATTAGTACACATGGTGCAAGCAGGATGCTGCCATCAAGCCAAAAAAGGCATTCTTCCTACTTCAAAAATTGGTAATACATCTGATGTTCCCTGTTTCTGTGATGCCAGATACCTAAGCTGCACATTCTAATTGCTGGCAGATCATATTAAATGAGCTTCTCTTCAGCTACTCACAATAGGCAAATAACTGACCTTACTCGACTAGCCCATGCTTGCAAACCTCAAGTTATAATATCTATCGTTGGATGTGATTCTGAAATTGGACAGCAAATGTAGAGAAATCAGTGAGCTAAGAATAATGTGATCAAGCAAGCAACATAATATTATCAGTCAGGCTTGTGATGTGGTTAATTTATTCTTGTTAGAAGCAACATATTCATAAGCATGGACCTGTCCTCTCAGGAAAAAGGTACATCCCCAGGCATTTCTACTGAGATGTCAACTTGGTGAAGCTACACAACAGGGCTCCTTGTGTGTCAAACAGTGTAAGCAGCAAGTGATAAACACATCTAAGCAATTCCACAACCAACATTAGATCTAAGCTCTGCAATCCAGCCACTTCCATCTAGAAGGACAAGGACAGCAGATACGTGGGAACACCAACTGCAAGCTCTTCCCCAAACTGCTCACCATCCTGACTCCTTGCAATTCTGAATGTTGCTGTTCCTTCAGTCTGCTTTTTTTAAAGGTCTGGAATTCCCTTCCTAATGGTATAGTGGGTCTACCTACACTACATGGACTGTAGCAGTCCAAAAAGGCATCCCACCTGTACTTTCTCAAGGGCAACTAGGAATGGGCCATAAATGTTGGCCCAATCAGTGACATCCACATCCTCTGAGCAAATTTTTAAAAAAAGCATGGGGAACAGTATTTCTCTGGCGAATACTTCATGACAGCAGCTCAACATATCAGTGTCAACTTTTCAAATCAAAAAGCATTTTTTTTTATCATGTAGCAGAAATTGTTACTCCCTTTGTAATTTTACGTTCTTGCATCTGTCATGATGAGTGAGTGTTAGACAAAAAGCCTCAACAACATATCTCTTTTTTTTCAGCAATACTGAGGAAAAATGGATCTGTGAAAACAAATGAAAACCTGAAACTTTGACAAGAAAAAATGTGAAGCTGATAATAGATTAGAATTATGTCTAACATGTGACCAGATGGCACATATGCAAGTTTATATAGGCAAAATTCAAATGTAATTAACTGTAGCAATTTACAAAGGAATAAAGTAGGTGTAAAAAATATGACAATAGGATATTAGGTGGTGTATACAGAGATTGTTTACAAACATGAGGTTTTTAATATGATGCATAAATTTATGAATTATTATGTTGCATAATTTCTTTTCCTCTTTGTGCAGAGCACAGATCAATGCAAGTGCTTTCCAATTATAAAATTGCTACTCGGTCATTTGTCTTTTTATTATACTTGTGCTTATACAAAATTGACTACAATGTAGTATGTTGTTTTTGTAGTAATGCCAAATAATTAGCCCATACAGTGCTTTTATTTTGGAATTCCTCTTTTTTTTTTTAACTTTGATTTAACCAAGCTATTAACTTTGTTTTTCTAATGGCCACTATTTGCAGATTCAAGTTATTCTTTTTAGTTCTGATAAAGCTTTTGAGATGATTTTGTTGCACAGTTGGTAGTGCCCTTGCCCTTCAACCAGAAGGTCCAAGTTTGCACCAGGACTTGATGTCCGTGGAAGATGCGTTCATAACATGGCCAAACATTAATTATCAACCTGTAAATTGTTCCAATACACCCAAGGTAGATGGTAAGATTGAGAGCTGTCTTAGCCAGTCATGATTGGCTGGTGACCTGTTCCAGCAAAAACTACGGAAATAGAGATAAGCACATGTTTTGCCTCATGAATTGTTAGATATGGGGCTGAGTTGGAGATTACAATGCATTACCTTAGCAAGTTGAGATGCAACAATATTAAAAGTAGTCTAGAATTCATTTATAAATGCACAACTGTGGGAGCAACAAGGAGAATGGTATGAGAAGAACTAGACATTTTCAGTAATCAGTTTGCATGCTCTCATCTTTAAATGCCATCAGCTTTCACCTGTGCCATAAACAGAAGTAATATATTAAATAGTACTGAATTATAATATTGCTGAAAATGACACATTTTGTTAAAACTTTTTATCTTGCATTCATTAGGATAATTTGCAAGAAATATCAAAGTAAAAGGAAAACAACATTTTTACTGTATGAGAAGAATATGCTGATTGATTGGTAGATATGCTACCATGATAATTGAAAGTTAACTGCCAAACTTGTTTAAATTTTTAAAACGGGCAAATTGACTCTGCTCAAGGCATTGCCTACGTTTTGAACAAGATTACATGATTCTGAATATAATGGCCAATTGCCATCATTCCTACTCCACCTTGTTCATTTTTTTTCATTTGTTTGCAGAATGTGAACATCACAGGCTAGGCCAGCATTTAATGTCCATAACTGCCAAGAGGGCAGTTAAGAGTCCACCATTTCGCTATGGGTCTGGAGTCACATGTACACCAGACCAGGTAAGGATAGCAGTTTCCTTCCCTAAAGGACATTAATGAATCAGATAGGATTTTCCAAAAATCAATTGTTTCATGGTAACCATTAGACTCCTAATTCCAGTTTTTTTTTTTGATATCACAACTAAATTCCACTATCTGCCTTGGCAGGATTTGAACCTGGATCCCCAGATGTTACCTCTAGATTAACAGTCTAGCAATAATACTACTAGGCCATCACCTCCCCTGAAATTGATTCCTTGTCTCTTGACTTAATTGTGAGCATGGCTGAAACTTGGAGAATGGGAACCAACAGTGGAATCTTAGGAGAATGTACACTGGAAAGTACTATTTGAAAATCTCTCCATGTCAAATGTTTTTTTTTTGAATTTGTATCTATCCTCTGGAATGGATCCACTAGGCCAGGACTACAGATACCAAGTTCTTCTTCAGCTTCTGCAAGTTGTTATGAACATAAATCATTTTACTATGTGCTGCAGTTGGTCCTGATGCGCAACTCTGCATCTGTCAGCAGTATGTGATTGTTCTGTCATTGAAAAACGCTCAGCCCCTGGATGAATTGAATTGGAAGAGAAGCCTTACAGAGACCTTTTATCAAATTTGTTAAACACTAACGTTCTAGATTGTCCAGTTATGGTGTGTGACTTGTTTTATTGATCCACAGATGAAGTTTTGAATTCTGCTGGTCATGTCTGGAATTGATAAATGTAAGGAAGATTGGCTTAATATCACTGGCGTTTTCCTAGGGAGCTGCAATAATAAAAAATATTCAGCTGAAATAACCTGTGAAATAACCATGCATAATTCAGCTTCTTTAATGTCTGTCATATTCCATGCAGCTGGGTGTCATGTTTGTTATCATTATTTTGGTAAGGGTAGTTACACTTGTAACTTTTGTCAAGTCGTTACTGTTGAGAAAGTTGTCTTTGAATTTTTAAATCTTCCTCCTGCGTTCTCTTTTCCAGGAACTTTAAGTAAATTGCAAAATACAGAAAAACAATATCTTGTTAATGCTGTCAAGCAAAGAGAACGGCATACTAAACATGACAATGATGTCCTTGAAGGTAAACAAATAAAGCAGTAACTTGCATGACAATTTCACTTTGGAATATTTCTACAGATATGAGAAATAGCTGTGCTATAAATATATATTAATATAAATATATTCAGAGGTGAAATAGTATTGAAGCTACTGTTGCATCAGAAATTAATTGGATGTTGCCAAAGAACAACATTTCCAAGTGTCAGTTTTGTTCAGTTGTTTGTTCACACATCTGATTCAGAAGACTGCAGATTACAAACTTGTTTATGTGATCTAAACTGACCACTTCTGTTCAGTACTGAGGGGCTGTAACATTGTGTAACTCTGCCATTCTGGTCATTAACTATCATGTGACATTATTTAGAAGAAGTGCAGAGTTTTGCTGGTTTCCTGCCCACAGCAGCAAAACAATGGTACAGTGATAATCTTACTGGGCTAGTAATTCAGAAACCCAGGTAACGAACTAGGGATAAAAACAAAGTGCTGGAGACATTGAGCAGGTTGGGCAGCTTCTGTGAAGAGAGAAACCGAGTTAATGTTTCAAATCTGGTATCCCTCTTTGGAACTGAAGGAAACTGGAAAATGGTGATTTTTTTTTTCCTGCAGTTGACAGATGGGGTAGAGGTGTTAGTGGAACAGACTGTGAGGATGCTCAGACCAAAGAAAAAAGGCAGTAGTAATGGTAGTAGAGGAAACAGGTTATTTGTATAACAGGTGTAAATGTTCAAGTGAAAAGGAAAAAATGGTTCCGCTCTGCTGAGAGCAAAGCCAATATGTTACAAACGAGATACCTCCTGGGGAAGGGTGTGGACAGAAGAAAATTGAGTGTAGAGGTCATATTCTGAAGTTGTGCACGTCAGTAATGAATCCTAGAAGCTGTAAAGTGTATGAACAGGAAAAAGGGGTGCTGTTCCTCCAGCTAGTGTTGAACATATTTGTGACATTTTTAGATTGTAAAGGACAGAAATACTAGTGTGGAAGCAAGGTGGTTTATTGAAATAGCAAGCAATGGTAAGGTTGGTGTAATTCTTAGAGCTGGAGCAAAGGTGTTCCACAAAATGGTCACCTGGTCTCTATTTGGTCTAAAGGAGACTATTGATCAGCAAATACAGTAGACTAGATCAAAACAAGTACAAGTAAAATGTAAAGTGAGGAGGGAGGAGGTGAATGGGCAAGTGGTACATCTTCTGTGATTGCAAGCAATTCCCTATGGCAGAGTAATGGATGTGTTAGGGACTTTGGAAGAGTGGACCAGAGTGTAATGGAGGCAATGAACCCTGCAAAATGCTAATACTAATGAGGAGGAGAAGATGCATTTGGTAGTGGTCTCTTGCTCTCAGCGCTCTCTCACTGTAGGTCAAACAGATGGTCAAACACCATCATGAAGTGAGAATGTTTTCTGACGACTGCACAATGTTCACTACCATCCATGACCCCATACATACTAAAGCACTCCATGTTTGAAGCAAGACTTGGACAATATCTAGGCTTTACTAGTAATTGCCAAGTAACATCCCCATCTTGCAAGTTCCTGGCAATTACTGTCTCCAACAAGAGAGTGAGTAATATACCATCTGACTCCTCAAAGTCAGTCTGTAAGGCATGGGTCAGGAGTGTGATGGAATACTCCTCGCTTGCCCGGATAAGTGTAGCTCCAACAACATTCAACAAGCTGGACACCTTCCAGGACAAGGCAGCCCAATTCATTGGCATCCCATTCTCAAACATTCACCTCCTCCAGCACTAACACACACTAACATCTGTGTGTTTCATTTGCACGACGCATTGCAGAAATTCATCAAGGGTTGTTGGACAGCGCCTTCTAAACCCTTGACCAATACCCTATCAAAGGACAATGTCAGCAAATGCATGGGAATGCTACCACCTGCAAATTCCTCTCCAAGCTACTCATCATCATGACTTAGAAATACATTTTGCTGTTCCTTTTGGTGTTGTTGGGTCAAAATCCTCGAATTCCTTCCCCAGTAGCATTCTGGATGTATCTAAATCAAACGGCCTGCAGTGGTTCAAGAAGGCAGCTCACCACCATCTTTTCAAGGAGAACGATGAATGGGCATAAATGCTGACCCAGTCAGTGATGCCCATATTTCCTGAATGAATTTTTAAAAAATCCTTCTTCAAATAGGATCATAAATGGACAAATGACATTTTTGTAGTTTGTGGGATCTTGTGCATTACTTGGCTCCCATACTTATTTGCATAAAACAATGTAATTTTTTTTGGATATTTGAGAGGTATGATGTTTTACAAATGCAAGTTCTTTATATGACATTAGCTCATGAAATAGTTCAAAAATTTTGCAAATGAAGTCTGACAGTACTGTATTTCAGCCCTGACAGTACAAATATTGTTAAGTACAGGATACAAAGTTAGTATTGCGAGTATCTACAAAATATGTGCCTTTCTAATTTTTGAAAACAAAAATCTTTTGTAGGTGAAAGCAAAGTCCAGGATGAAGCAAATTCAGGATGTTCATTTTCAGGCGAACCTTCAGACACACATCAAGGAAATAAAGATTGTACAAGTACATCTTTCCTTCCATCTCCATCTGAAAAGCATGATCATAAAGATCCTCTATCTTTTACAGCTTTGGAGGAAAGGTAAATGAAAGGTTGGAACTCGCATAATGAACACAGGGCTCCTTGATTTATGCAAATCTGACTTATGAAGGCTTGTGCTTAACAATGTCATCCCATATAGGGGTGTAATTTTAAAGGCATGACATACAGATATTTCTTGGGGGAGAGATAGTAGTAACTGCCGATGCTGGAGAATCTGAGATAACAAGGTGTAGAGCTGGATGAACACAGCGGGCCAAGCAGCATCAGAGGAGCAGGAAAGCTGACGTTTCGGGTCTGGACCCTTCAGAAAATTTTCTGTTTCAACCTCTCTTCTTCCATTTGCATTTGTTTCTCCAAGTACTCTTCATAAGTGTCCTTCCTTATATTTAGTCCGGGTTTAATTGGTCTATGAAAAATGTTAACGAGCATTTTTTGTTTTTTTTTTTGGAATTCCTCTAGTTTAATCACAGTTCAATAATCTTTGCAGTTTACATATCTGCCAACATTTTCTGAAGAAGGGTTCAGACCCGAAACGTCAGCTTTTCTGCTCCTCTGATGCTGCTTGGCCTGCTGTGTTCATCCAGCTCTACACCTTGTTATCTTGGATGTTTCTTGGACTTGTGAACAGCAACTTTACATTGTCCTACAAAGTGTTCCAACTTGCGTACAAATCGACTTGCGAACAGACTCCACAACGGAACCTCTTCACAACTTGGGGAACTGCCTGTATATCAAATAGAGTTTTTTTTTTCCTATTCGTTTGTGGGATGTAGGTGTCACTGGCTGGCCAGCATTTCTTGCCCAGCCCTAATGGCCCTTGAGAAGGTGGTGGTGAGCTGCCTTCTTGAACTGCTGCAGTCCACCTGCTGTAGGGAAGGAATTCCACGATTTTGACCCGGTGACAGTGAAGGAACAGCAATATATTTCCAAGTCAGGGTAGTGAGTGGCTTGGAGGGGAACTTGGAGGTGGTGATGTTCCCATATGTCTGCTGCCCTTGTCCTTCTGGATGGAAGTGGTTGTGGGTTTGGAAGGTGCTGTCTGAGGATCTTTTGAATTTCTGCAGTGCATCTTGTAGACAGTACACACTGCTGCTACTGAGTGTCGGTGCTGGAGGGAGTGGATGCTTGTGGATGTAGTGCCAATCAAGCGGGCTGCTTTGTCCTGGATGGTAGCAAGCTTCTTGAGGGTTGTTGGGGCTGCTGTCATCTAGGCAAGTGGGGAGTATTCCATCACACTCCTGACTTGCGCCTTAGATGGTGGACAGGCTTTGAGGAGTCATGAAGTGATTTACTCGCCGCAGTATTCCTAGCTTCTGGCTTGTTACTTTAATTACCCATACTAACAAATGATTGGCAAAATCGTAAGTTATAAAATATTATGTTAATAAAATTGCACAATCTAAAACAATTGTATGTGTTTGTGGTGGATTGAAATGTTAATGAAAATATATATGACAATTTTATATTGATATCTTATTTAAAATGTTTTATATCTACAGGCAGATATGTAAACTGCAAAGATTATTGAACTGTGATTTTAAACTGGAGGAATTCCAAAAAAATGCTCTTGTTAATATTTTTCATAGACCAATTAAACCGGGACTAGATATACGGAAGGAAACTTATGAAGAGTACTTGGAGAAACAGATGCAACTGGAAGAAGAGAGGTTGAAACAACAGCAACTTAAATTGAATCAGTCACAGGTTTGTGTTTGGAACAGTCAATGTAAAATGCATTAAGGTAAACATTCAATTTGAGATTTGTGAAACAGCATTTCATGCCATAAAATTAGTAGAAAAATTAGAAATCATTTGCTACTACTTAAGTTATTCAAATTAATTTTCTGATTATTCGTCAGATTTCAAAATGACTCCATTGGGAAGCTGTCTGCATTCTTCATTTCAGTACCAGAGGTTGTAGATTAGAAACTTAGTATTGTTTATGGCACAGAAGGTTGCTGTTCTGCCATTGCATTGGATCAAAATTCACTCCAGAGATTCAAGCACAAAATTAAGACTGATATTTCAGTCAGTACTGTGACAGGTGTTATCTTTCAAATGAGTGACTAAACTGAAGCCTCAACTGCCCTTAGCTACACAAAGATTGTGGAACACTATTCCCAAGAAGAGTGGGGGAGTTCTCTGTGAAGTCTGTCATTTGATAGACCAATATCCATACATTTCTTTTTTCAAAGATTTACAAGGGTTTTATTGTGAATCTATTGTTTATCACAAACACCAGTTTCCACCTTTCGCTTCTGTACATTTTCCGTGTCTAGAAGTTCCTACTGGGGAACAACCTGGCTCCTATTATATATCAGCCCACACCAAATTAACAAAAATACACAATTAATGATCACCAAAGCTGCTCACCAGGGTCATAAACCCCAGCTCTTTTTTTTTAATAATCTAAAACGCCTACTACCAAAACACCCAATCACCCAAATAAATACCTGTCTACCAGGGGTGCACTCATGATATCAAAAATCAAAGGCTGCGGAAAACAAGGGAGCAGACCAAGTACTCAGGCAGTGTCTAATGACACTGGAACTGTGGGGACGCATGTTGGCATCCACTTAAAAACTTGCATGCCTACGGTTTCAATCCCTCTACATCATTGCATCATAGCAAAGTCCATATTCCATGTGTGCACAAAACAGGTACAACGTGGAATCTGGAATCAGATGGGGCTGATGGTGTCGGTGGACAATTGATGGGAGTGGTGGTGATGCCATTGGGTGGAGGAGAATGGAGGGAGCTGGTGGTCAGTGTGGGGAGAGAATGGATACTGGGGAGGACAGGGTGAACGGTGCTGGTGGGCAAGGGAGAGAATGGATAGGGCTGGGGGGTTGGGCGAGGAAAGATAGAATTGGAAGATGGGGGGAGAACCGGGATTTAGGGGCGGGAGAGGGAGAGAATCGATCCAGGAGCCATGGTCATGGTGGGATGGGCTACAAAGAGGGTGTAGCAGCAGGGAGGCACCCTCTCTCACCCACCCCGTCCCTTTCTCGCTCCCCAACCCTCCTGTTGCTCCGTCTTCTCCTTCCCAATTCTACTCCCCCC